GTTACTTTATTTATGCCTTCTGTCGTGCAGCAGTACAGATCTTCAAAGCCTTGTGAAAGTTGGCCCTGGACTTTTCCTACATTGGCCCAATTTGGAATATTTTTATTTATTTCCATCACCAACTGCATTGGAAAACAGAGGTTTTTAGATGGTTGGTTTGCACTTGAAATGCCTTCCCATGATACACAGGTAGTAACTATTCATTTAGGAAATTGAATGTTCAAAATTACAATAGCCCTGAGAAAAGTGACTTACAACTGGTCCTTGCACTTATGACCATGCAAGCATCTGCACGGTCACGTAATCAAAATTTGGGTACTTAGCAACTGGAATGTATTTTTGATGGTTGGAGCATCCTGTGATCACCATTTGCTACTTTCCCAGCTGGCTTCCAACACACAAAGTCAGCTGGAGAAGCTGGATTCGCTTAACGGCCACATGATTCACTTAAGAACTGTGGCAAAAAAAAAGGCTACAAATTTGGATGCAACCCACTTAACTATCGTCTGCTTAGCAATGGAAATTCTGGTTTTATTCAAGGTCATAAATTGAGCACTGCCGGGTTCTGTTCACAAACGTTCGTTTTAAAAAAAGTGGAACAACCATTGAAAACAACATTGAAAATCTTCCTTCTTAAAATGATCCCCAGTGGGCTCTCTTGCTTAAGAACAGAAGAAATACTTTGCTGGATCAAAACAAGATTCTCTCTTAGCCCATCTTTTTTAAAAAGACTCCTCTCACCAGAGACACTAAGTCTGCACTGCCTGGTTGCCCCATTGGCAGATCTGTTTCTGGAGGACTGCGAACAAGAACAACATCTGTATTAATCCCCAGCTGACACTCAAAGCGACTGAAGGGCCCAACCCTTCTATCTCAGGTGGCTGGAGAAATAGTAGCTGAACCACCCTCATTAAAAAGCAATCAATCAATCAAAGGAGAAACAGGATGCTCAGAAAGACAAATAGTATTTTAAGAAATCTGCTGAATTTTAAACTAGCAACCTTTTACCAACAGGGCCGGAGTTATACTGACTTCACTATATATTGCAGTCTCATTGAATAATGGGTGAAAAATCAAACGCAGTCATAGTAATAATAATGCAGTTTTATCTCCGTGTATATGCATTTTGATACTGTGACTTTTATATGTGCATTAAATTTGTGTTTAGGTGGGGGGATGTCTGTGCAAACAAGACAGATATATGTATACAGGTATTCCTCGACTTACAACAGTTCATTTAGTGACCATTCAAAGTTACAATGGTACTGAAAAGAGTGACATGATCATTTTTCACACTTATGACCATTGCAGCATCCCCATGCTCACTTGAGCAAAATTCAGACACTTGACAACTGGTTCATATATATGACGGTTGCAGTGTCCTGGAGTCTTTTTATTATCTTTTGCATCCTTCTGGCCAGCAAAGTCAACGGGGAAGCCAGATTCACTGAACAACTGTGTTACTAACTTAAGAACTTGCAGTGATTGGCAAGAAAGGTTGTAAAACGAGGCAAAACTCACTTAACAACTGTCTCGCTTAGCAACAGAAATTTGGGGCTCAAATGTGGTCGTAAGTCAAGGACTACCTTTATATGATGAGGAAGACCCACCCAGAGGAAATTCACCATCGCTTTCCTGGGATAGAAACAGCAGTGGTATTCTACCGGTTTGGCCTGGTTCTCTCCGAAGCTCTGCCGTTGGGCCTGCCCGCCTGCCCAGGCTCCCATACTTACCTTTATGTCCCGCTTTTGAAATGCAGCTGCTTTGCGCGGCACAGCAGATTGCCACGCGGCAGCTGCTGAAGCGACAGGAAGAGTGCAGGATTGCAGGTTAAAACACCTCTGTGCCTGCACAAAGTGTGCGTTTGGCATGCATGCGCACGCAAAGTGTGTGCGTGCATGCAAAGCGCGCCGACCAAGCCACACCCACCGAACCGGTGGTAAACATTTTTTAAACACACCACTGAATAGAAAGATGGGAGAAGGGGAATTATCCAATGAGCGCAGTAACTTCTGTCCGGATTGCCAAAATATCTCAGACGAGACAGGCATTTTTATGCTGGCTGAGAATCAAGCCAGCATGAGCAGAAGACAGGAGCAGCTTAAATGACGAGTATGGATGTGCCTTTTGCAATATATAGTAGGATTTAACTAATATCACATGATAATTTTTTTTTCCCAAATGGCAGCATATCCCAAAGATTCAGTGTATCTGGCACTTCCCAATTCCCCATAATAAGGAATTCTCATCACATCAATTAATTTCTAATTACACTTTCCCTTTATTCTGTTTCATCAAGACAGATTAAATACATCTTGGGATCATGTCAGACACAGCAATCTTGGAGACCACAGACAAACACAGGCTGTAATATAAATCTCTCTATAAATCTCTCCTCTTCTTGCTGTGTTGGAAAGTTTGCTAAACCATAGTTTTCAGCTAGAAAATAGGATTGTAAAAGTATATGCTCCGGAAGATAGATTCAAAATACCTCAAATAACCTTTCCATCACAACTTTTTTTTTTATAGAGTAGAATTCTGTAAAGCTTTTCCTCTTTGTACTAAAGCCACGGTATTTGCAACTATCATATCTTGGCAGCAGAAATCTGGTTGAACACTAGATTGTTGCCCTCTCATTATCATCTGGCTTTTGCTATGATGATATGATAACTGTGCAGTATGAGTTGCATTAATTTATGTTTCTTGAATATGGCCATTATGATTTGTAAGCCATAGTTATGGCTTAACTTACTATATGATCCAGACAATTGTGATTTATTATATACAACTCACACACTTTTCATATGAGGTTGGAATGATTTGACTCTTTACAAGTACATTCAGATCTTGAAAGCCACTTTTTTAAAAAGAGCTATGGAATTCTTTCACTTTTAATTATTCAGGTGAAGAGGCATTGTGTTTGCAAAACATACAAAACCAAGGTTAACTGAATCATGGTTTATTACATTAATCCAATTGCCTGGGTTTGAAGAACACACCAAAATATAAGCTAACTACACGGGCTCTTTCATGCAATTAACTTTCTTGTCTTTTGTTGGCAGCAAAAATATTTTATATATTTTTATTTCTACAATATACAAATTACTAGAAAAAAGGAGAAAGCAATATATATAATACACATGTTCTCTGTGTGTGCTTATGTATGCATGTGTGTCTATGTGTGTGTATGTATGCACACATTTATGTGAGTAAATAGGCTGAATATTGTATGAGTAAACAGATGTGCATATTGCCCTTATTTCAAGCTCAGACACTATTATAAAACCTAAAATGATTTATATTAACAAAGGATTAGCTGTTAGTATCAGACTTCTCCCAAATGTACATACATACAGTACATATATTAGCTGAATGGCCATGGACCAAAGTATTCAAAAGGAAAAGTGGGAACTCTTTCAAAATACTGTAAGGATTGTACATTTTTTATTAACTGGGTAAATAATAACATTCTAAGCCATAAATGTGGAGACAGATTATGTCTGTAGAGGATATGAAAATGTCCAAAACAAGGGTAGGTACAGGTATGGAAGAGATAGTATTATGCACACATTGGAACATTTAAACATAATCTTATAAAATACTGAACTTTTGTGCCTTCCCTTTGCCCCTGTTGTGCTAGATGGCATTGTTTCCAGAAAGACAGAATTTAAGAGATAGTAAAATGCCAGATTACCAATGCCCTTTGGGGAAAAGCTGAGTTTCAAAACAAAGGAAGTTTTTGAGCCACCTTTCATAAATTAAACCCTTTAGACTTCCCACTGTAAACGGGAGAGTTAATCTTGTTATTCCAATTCTGTGTATTGATCGAGGATGAAATCATCTGAACTGCTGACCTAAGAGAAAAAAGGGATGCCAGGTGCTATACTTTGCCAAATCTCATTTTCTGGTCCCAAGAAGAGAGGAGGCAGGATCTTCTGGATCAGCTATGGGGAATAAGCATCTGGATAGGGTGCTGTCATTGCCAGTGACCAAACTTTAAAAGAAAGGATCCTCTTCCTCGTTTCTCAGCCTAGTTGAGATAACTTCAAGAGAACCTGGGAGGTTAGGGTGGATATCTAGGACACTTCTCTCCTAAACCTCATTCTTGTGCTTTAATTTTGTTTTAGCACTTGTGTGCCCCAGACTGGCTTTTACTCATACAGGTCTGTGTAGAAGGAACTGCAGCAAATGTATCAGTCAGGGGCCAACCCAGAGAGCTGAAAATCTCTCTCTCTTTTTTTAACCCTTTTAAGGGTGCAGGAACGCTGTCCTCTTTTCCAATGATGCCTTTCGGGAAGATGAAAGCTCCATGGCAGAGATCCCTCTCTGTTTTGTTCCCTCGTTTGTTGTCAAGTCAGTCTGACAAAACATCGCCACTATCCTTGGCTCGGGCAAAAGTGGATGTAGGACCTGAGCCCCCCCCCCCCCCCCCCCCCAAAAAAAAACAAACCACCTATGACGAACACGTGTCCCAGGATAAAGTTGCGGGATCCCATCTGGGTCGGTTCCCCGGGACCCAGATGGGATCCTGCAACATTATCCTGTTGGATGAAGGCTCTGTTGTTGGATAATGGATCCCTTGGGATCCAGAAGATGGGCTCCAGCACGAACCCGAAAGCTCGGAAGATCAAACTTCAGGTCCGGGTGACCGATTCAGTTTGGATCCTGCAAAAGCACCTATTCTCAGGGGGAAGTTTGGAGGGAGAAAACCCCCCACTCCTGAGAACGGACGGACGGACGGACAGGCGCCCAGTCCTCTCTCTCCTTGCAGAGGCGGCCTCTGTTAGCTTCTCTCCGGCTCGACTAGCGATTCCCTCGCCGCTGCTCCGCCCCACCCGCCCACATTCCCACACCCTCGTGCCCCGGGGGGTTGCCTAGGCTCCTCCCGTCCCCCGGCAAGCGGTGTGCCTGCGTGTGTGAGGGTGCCGGGGACGGACTTACACCTTTCCTGGGCGGACGGGGGGTGTGTGAGTGGGGGGGGGGGAAGAACCTGGCAGAAATTCCCTGCCCCGAGTTCTCTCTTGCTCGCGCTCTCCGAGGCTGCAGCAGATGGAGCCAGGAGGACCGAGGGAGAGCAGCGGGCGCTGAAGGCAGCTGTGCGAAGAGCGGAGGGGAGGAAAACAGAACAGGCAGAGAGAGAGAGAAAGAGAGAGAGGAGACGAAACTTTTCTCTCAGCTCTGCTCCGGCCGTTGCCTCGCTCGCTCCCTCGCGTTGCCCGTTCTGTGAGTCTGTGGGGGGAAAACATTGGAGATTCAGGGGCGCCACCACCGCTGGACATGAAGGAATCGCGGAGGGCAGCCACCCAGGAGCAGGGGGCAGACAGCGTTGCCGCCTCCTCCTCCTCACCGTTGGAGGGTCCGGAGAAGAAGCGGAAAACGCGGAAAGGCAAAGGGGCCCCCGGCAGAAGAGGGCCCCCTCGGGAGGAGAGTGGGCCAGGTAAGTCCCCGTCCTCCCCCCCCCTCCTCCTCAGTATTTCAAGGATGAAAGCGAGAGGGCGCGCGCTTGAGCGCGGCGTCGAAGTGCAGGGTCTCTTTGGCAGGACGCAGGTGGGCGGCTCGGTTGGAAAAACCCCCTCCCCGTTCCCTCGCCAGTTTGGAGGCACGTGTGGAGGGGGGCGTGCGTGCGTGTGTGTGTGTGTTAGGCGCGAAAGAAGAGTGGCCGCGCGTTGATTCTCCCGCCTCGTCCCCAACTCCAGCCGAGCGGGCGGGCGGGCGACTTTCGCCTCAAGCCCGGAGAGCCGGTTAGCCCCGGAGAAGGTCCAGCACGCGCTCCTCTTGTGCCCCTTCCGCCCTAAGCTTTGGAGCTTCCAGATAGCCGCTCCCCGCGTAACGGCTTACGACAGTTTGCGTTCATAGCCGCTAAGTCGAGCGCTCGCTTGTTTTGACTTGCGAAATGGGGAGAGGGGGGAGAGAGAGAGAGAGAGAGAGAGAAAGAGAAACACGCACGCACACACCTGATCAGTAATCCTGGGAACCCAAAGGAGTGGCGCAATTCTCCTCCACCGCTTGGCCGGACGGTACAGGCAGGGTGAGAGCAAGCCCTCGCGTGCCTGACGCGATAAGCTGTTGCTTGGGAAGTGGTCGTGTGCAGGTTCTTGGTTAGATGAGATCAGATCTGAAGAAACGACCTCTCTCGCTCTCTTTTCGGCCATGCCCCCTGAAAGGACTTAAGTCTTCTTCTTTCCTACTTGGAAAGCCCTGAACTAGTTTCCTCAAGACTCAGTCCAGCTGCTCCCAGAATAATTTACCTGAGATGAAACATACCTAGAATTGCTCTGGAGAAAGGTGCAAAGACTATTTATCCTTCAGCATTGCTTGAATTCCTGGCAGGCATAGTTGTCCGTAATACTGTATTCTTTTTAGCCTTCCTACTGTTCTCACAGTTAATAATGATGAGGTGGTTTTTATCGTGCTTGTAATCTGTTTTGCCTACATGACAACTGTGAGGAAGGTCTGCCCCAAATGACCCACAAAGTTTGTAATACATTGGATTTTATATCTTAAATCTTCCATGCTTGATAATGTTTACTCCATGATGCTTTTCTCCAACTTGCATAAATTCCACTTCGTGAAGTATAGCAAGTTTATAGCAGTGAGTGTGAGTATACAGACTTAGTTAATCTCTGCACTCATGAACATGGGTAGGATGGATTGTGTTTATGAGAGTAGTGAGCATCAATACATAAAATGGAAAATGCCTTTTGATGCATGTTTTAGGTTCGAGTTTACATTCTCATAACCACAGACAAGTATGGTCTTAAAAGTCGAATAAAATACTTTTTGCATGTAATACAGCAAGTGGTTGTTTTGCTCTAGTTATTCTAAAAGTAACATCTTGTATACTATATTCATATATAAGAATAATTGGTTATGTATTTCATTTTTTTAAAAAAAATGTTCTTGTATGACTTACTACTTAGAAAGGTACGTCATGCTATTGTAGACAGGAGAAGATAGAACAGTGTAAATCATGTCCAATTGTTTCTTTTTGGGGGAATAATAAAAGTTTGTCTAAATTTACAAAGTTGTTTAAATTTACAATCAACATCTCTTTCTTATCCATTAACCTTAAGAGTTTTGCCAGTGTATCTGGTAATGGTCGTGTGTTTAGATGTTAAAAGTGGATTCTCACTAATAATGCTATATTGGTGGAATGTTTCCAGCAGTAGTTCCAGCTGTTAAACATCTGGAGCATGCTACTGAAGCAGTACTAGTTTCAGCAGCCGACTCCCAAAATCTCCAGAATCTGGAGAAATAAGCACATGACATCTTCTGAGATGAATAGTATTGGAGAAGGCATAAGTCTGGAAATAAGCAGTCAAATAGTTTATTTGCCAGTCTTTCCTATTAATTTTGGTGTGACTTACATCAAGCAGGTGTATTTACCAATGAATCCATTTAATTTCATTACTTCCAATCAGTTACAAAATTGTATATTTTATTATATATTGCATAATCCTTTGGATGTATATTCAGAAGTAACCTTCATTTACTTAAATGGGACTGAAATGGAAAGAAGCATCCACAATCTTGAACTGATAAAACTGAAGTTGATTAAGGTAGTTTGAGCAGGGAAATCTCTAGTTAAATGTTTGCCCAAATGTGTGCCTGTTAAGTGAACATTTGTAAACTTTTTTTAGACCTTATGTTTTCATTTGCAACAGTAGGAATGAGAATAGTCATTCTCACGGAAGGCCATGTAAGAGTCAGTGAAAAGCTGTAGAAAAATCACTTTGGGCATTTGAAATAGGTCATGTAAGTATTAATTGTCCTGTTTTATATATTAATCCATGGCTAGTGAAGAAGTTAACAATTTCCATGTAGAAACTGATAGCTTCATAAGTTGTATCCCCCCCCAAAAATTAAGGAACACCAAAGAAGAATAGTAGTTGATCACTGTTTTTCTTTCAGCTGTTTGTATATATTTGCAAAATTAATGGGGTCAAAAGGATTCCTGAACAACTTAAATGGAATTCAAGTATTGCTTGGAAGTAGATGAAATAGAAACTTTCCCTTTTTAAAATGTAGGATCCAATCCTGGTTGCCAGCAACCCTTTTTCACCACATAGTAACCCGCATTAAATCTTCGAAGTGGTTTAGGCTGGGGACTGCAAAATGGAGAGATCAGCTTTCCATCAAATACAGATATCTTCGAAAACTTTTTCAGATAACCCAGCTTTGATCCAAACCATCAATTAAACTTAAAACTTATTAAATGTTTTTTCTTGCAAATGTCTGTAAAAGACTATAATAAGACAAATCTCACTATAAGTAGTCACAAATACTAACACTGGGAATTGGCTTGCCATTTTAATAGGAAATAATAACATATTTGTTCATACTTTACCTATAAATTGATTCTCTATTCCATATTAATGTATGCTGCTAACATTTAATGTTTGAGCATTAACCAGTGGATCCACTGGTACATTTATGAATCATCATAAAAAACTTTGTCTTTGCTTCTTATCTCAAAATAACATGTGAATCTTGAATTTAGGTTTTTTTTGAATGGTTTGTAACAAACTATTCAAAGATGAGTATCTCTACCAGTAATCAGGATAGCTGTAAATAAATGTGCCTATTTGTATATATGAGGCCCTTGAAGAACTGTGAGGGGTAAACAATGCTTTTTTACATTTTTTTTGTTCAGAAGCAAGAACAGATAATGCTATAAGATAATCTTGTAAAATGCTGCCCTCCCCTGTTGTTTTCTCAAACAGTATTAATGGCTTAATTCTGCCATAATTAAAAACAAATCAAAATGTCATTGTTCCTAAGCATTAAGAAATTCCATGGGGAGCATCATCTGAAACCAAGTTATACCTGTAATTTAATTTAATGGTATTTACCGATTTTTAGTATTAAATGGTGACAGAGGGGGTCTGGCAGAATGTGTTTCTTGTTAATTTAATGAGGCTGTGCTCCCAGTTTCTGCTGATAGTAAAATATATCTTTGAAAGAACTGCTGTTATAATAAATATTTTTCCTACAGAAATAAACTTCTGAAGCTGAAAAAGTTTGTCTAGACTGGAAGTCCTACCATCATGGTTTATTTTGTTTTGTTTCCTAAAATGCAAGAACATAATGAGATGATATCAACTGGGATACTAAGGAAGTAACTTTTTTACCTTCAGAACTAAGATAGTTCCACATTATGTAGTTTTTAAAACTACATAATGAAATGAAGAAGTCAGAAAATGGAAGATTTCTCTAATATAATATTGTTCATATCAAATTGTCAAATACAATAAACTTATACCCAAGCAGCAATTCTGGAAAATAAGTTCTAATATTAGTAGATAAATGTACAAATGAGACAGATCTGGAATTGCCTATTTTCACAAATCTTAACTTTGAGTCATTGGTTTTGAATCTTTAAGTGATGAAAGTTGCTGTTTGTTTTGAATTGGAAGTAGTACAAATACAGTGCTGTCACAAGTGAAATTAGATGTAACTAAATTTCCCAAATTTAATCACATTCCACTTAAGAGCTTTGATGTAAAGATGAGTTTCCATCACCTTTGAAGATAATTCTTTGCAGTATGATTCTGCTGAGATGAATGTAGGCCAGCGTAATAGAAAAGTTTCTAGTCAAAGATGCTAGAAGATAACCTTTTTTTTGGGGGTGGGGGGGGGGGGGGGGGGGGGGAAATGGTTGAGTCTTTGAATGAAAAGCAGCCAGACAGCTTCCTTACCTGCAGTTGGCTCTCTTACAATTACAGAAACTGCACACAATAGTTGTAGCTTACAAAACTGAAGTGTATTAGTGTAGCGGCCCCAACCTTTTGGACACCAGGGACTAGTTCCATGGAGGGAGGTTTTTCCATGGACCAGAGGGCGGTGGGCGTGGTTTCACATGCTGCCTGCATCCTGTGGATGGGGCTTTGCTTGTGTGGGCAGCCCAGTTTCTGGCATGCCGTAGCCCTGCACCAGTCCACAGACCCGGGGTTCCCCAGGTACGCTAATACCCCTGTATTAGTGTACCTACCTCCCCTATTGAAGTTAATAAGAAGCTTATGCAGATATCAACATGTTTGAATTGATACAATAGTTATGATAACAAGCCTTGACTGTAATTGTTCATTTGCATAATGTCAGCATTCACTAGGATAAGTTGCACATATATATAGTGAGTAGAATCATCCCAATTTAAAGAAAATAAAAATAAAAAAGTTAATGATTTTCTAGGCAGCTTAAACCTATTGACACGGGCTATGTTCCATCAACTCCTTAGAAATGCTCATTTTTATTCTGCGCTTACATGGCCAAGTGCATTCAGCTGCTTAACTTGATTTTTGTCCTCTTGTCTGTTTTAACTATAAAAATATTTCCCTTTTGAGAAAGACGGAAAGATTATGTAGCATTAAATGCAGCCCTTCACTTGCAGTGTCTGATATTGTAATAAACCTGCCAAGAAAAATCAAACACAGAGGG